AAACATATGGATGAATTGATAAATATATGAATGGATGAATGGATAAAGTCATGGATGGATGGATGGATGGATGGATGGATAGAATAATTTTAGGATGTCACTGTCGGATCTAAGACCTTTTGGGAGAATTTTTTTACTATTTCACTATAGAAAGTATACAACATTTTCCAGGCTTAAGGCCTTTGTTGGCCAGTAAAATAAACTCTGGTGAGTGTGTGGAGTGCAGTGACTGGGATGGCTTCACAGAAGAACCAGCTTGTGTAATGCAACCTCAGAGTATTTCTCACATATATATATTAATGATGTAAACAGAATGTAATGAAAAATAGCAGCATTCAAAAAGTGGCGATGCAGCACAGTCTTCGTGTATTCGATGCCACCACTGAACACCATTTTTTAAAAGTTTGAATTATTTTGTTCGAAATCTGACAAATGTAGTTTAGACTGTAAAATCAGTTGAATTACTTCTTATGAGCTTCATTCATTCAAACCACTCGTTATTTATATTATCTTCACACATGTACCATCCTGCTGTTAATCAGAAACACCTAAAACAACATTATTGTCTATAGGAAAAAGGAAGAAGGCAACATATTTCTTGCAGTCCTGAAGAATCATAAAAAAAACGTGTGTGATGCTGATTGGAGAGAGATACAAGCTTTTGTCTCGCAAGGCTCTGTGCTACTTCAGCAGGCGCTTGTGATGGATTACCTCACTTCTTGCTATCTCCATCCTGCTCCCGGTTCTCCGTCTCCCTCTTTTTCTGTGCACTCTCTGCTGTTCTGTAGGGAAATGAATGGGCATCCTGTTTGCTGCATTCGCATTTCACTCTGTCAAACTCCACTATGTATCTGGTGTGTCGGGCGGCTGTTGTTGCACGTGCTCCGTGTGCGCGTGGATCCATAGGCTCCAGGATTTTATCGTTTTTCTCCGTGTGTGTGTGTGTGTTTGGCCAGGTCATTTAGTACTCCGCGTGCAGCCTTGGAACAGGCTGATAAGCTGTTTGCAAAAACTGGCAATTAAAAGTTGATCAGGCTGTCAATTCAAATGGAATGAAATGGAACCAAAAAGTAATTAAAAGGATGGCATGAAAATAACAACAATTATATCTCTTAGCTTCCCATTACCAATGCACACAGGAATTTAATTAGCTAAGGAGCTTGCGGTGATTCTCACTGTATCCACACAGCAACACAAAATGGTGGCCAGCACACACTATATTCAGGTGTGTACTGTATGTACAGTATGATAGGGAGGGGCTACATGTGACACCCACCCGGAGGGGGGCCCACGGATTTGGGCAGTGCTGGTGTTTAGCTCTTGCTGTCGAGCTGTTGGCGGCTTTCGCGTGAGTCTTAATTAGCGTTTTAAGTGGTCGGCGGATTGGCGGGACACTCCCCGTCCTCACAGTTTGCCCATATGGCTTTCTGCTGGGCGCCCGTCGTGGTAATGAGCCTGTCTCTATCTATCCAGCTCAGAATTGACCCGCGACAGCAAAATGGACACTTTCTTAAGTAACATACCGCACGGCAGAGAAGCGCCGCTCGGCTAATCTATCGACTGCACATGCCTCTACCTCACTGAGTCCATGTGTGTCTCTGTGGGGAGCCTTCTCAGCCCGCCCTCTTCCCTCTTTTTATGAAAGCAGATATTGCACATTGCCTCGGGATCTCCGTGCTGCAGAACATCCCGAGTCCTGCCGGAGACACACCTGGGTTATTGAGATTGCTTCCGCCCGTTTATCAAACATCTGCCCTCATTAAAAACGTAATTCCAACCTGCTGTCGGAAGGTCGACTACAGATGTCTGCGGTCTGATACCGGCCAGCTGGGTTCTGTAGGGCCTCCGCCTGCTTTCCCTGCCTCGGCTTTGCTTCAGATGTCTGAATGTAGGCAGAGTGATTTGCAAATAAACAAAGTTTCTGCTGAGAATAGTTTCAGTTACCTGATTTTTTTTCTTTTTTTTAAAAATAAAATGCTGGTTTAGTTCTACATTTATGAAAACAAGAATAGATTTTCCACTTGACAAAGTTCACTTTCTTGTCTTAATTAATTTGCCTTTTTTCCATTTTTTTCTGTTGAATTTTGATTTGACTGTCTGCCTTTAAAAGCTTGTGTCGGTCTGAGCCAGGATCACTGTGGCCACGTCTCTGTGCCAGCTGACAGATCAGGAACATATTGTAGCTGAAGTTTGACTGTGGCTGTGGAGAGCAACGCGGTTGGATCAGACTGTCCTTCATTAGCTAGTCTGTCCTTTTTATCTTGATTTTTATTATTTTTTGTTCCTCTCTGTTATTTATAACCCCCAGAAGGTGAACTAAAACAGCATAATCCGCAAGTGTGTCCCTTTTAGGAAAGTCACAGACTCAAAAATATTGGGGAGAATGCTGCTATGTAGCATATAAATGAATATTTAGTAGGATACATCTAGAGGCACTTCCTGCTGATCAGTAGAATTCTGTTTTTCCATTCAAAGATGTCCTTAGAGTTTGATATTTAAATAATCAGTAAACCAATATTATCTCTGTGTTTGGGAGTTGTTCGCTTGTTCTAAAATTTCTCATACATTCACATGACAAAACAGACAACAAACTATTCTCAGTGGCCTGGGAATAATGTAGGGGAACTCCCTCTGGGCCTGGAAGAGAAAAGCAAAAGCTCCACACAATCGGAGCAGATTTACCACGGGGCTCTCTGGCTCATGAAATTCTTGATGAGCAAGATTTTAGTAAAGCTGTGTTAGTCGTATAAGCTTACAGCTGCATAATACTTATTGCAGCGCGTTAAGTAACTACCCACAGTACCCAAAATCACACCCCCGAGACAGGTTTTGGCAGCCACAGCTGGAACTTCAATTGGAGGATGTGCATGCATAAATTATCATGACAATGAAGCTGGAGAGGTTTTAAACCGAGAATAAAAAAACCACAGTAGATTTACAAAGATCATTAAATGATGTCACCTTTCTATTTACAACATGTATGCTTTACCTCAAGGTGAACGCTTGGGCAGGCATGCATTTGCATGAATTACTGTGTTTCAGAGGCGGAAGGACGCCGGCTTTTCATGACAAACAGACAAAGTCGATAAATCAAAACAAGTCTCTCCATTCACTGCAGAGACAGAGGAATGAGGGTGCAGAAGTCTTTCAGAAGTGGGTTAAGCTCAGCGGGCCATCATTTAGGAGTGAATATTTATGACCAGCAGTTCAGTAGACCAGGCCTTGGGGGACATCATGGGCGGGGCAATCAGGTACCAGGTACCAGGTACCAGGTACCAGTTACCAGGTACCAAGCACTAAAAACACCGGTCACTTTATGGAACTGGACTTTGTCCCATATTTATCCAGCCATTAAAACAGTCAGATTCAGCTCATTCCACAGTTCCCAGCTGTCCTGAGTAGAGCCGGAACATGCAACAATCTCCAAAATAAGGCCCTTTAAATTGAAATGGGTTGATCTTTGCTCGGGTTTGAAATGCAGCTCATTTCCATATTCATGTTTGTGTAGGATTGTTTTTAATAATGAAGACAAGCTCCCATAACTGTAAATGATTGGACAGTACCAAATATATTTTTCACTTAGTTGTCAGAAAAAATGGCCATGACTCCAATAGTTTTTTGTTTAGATTTGAGGCGTTTTTTCAAAGTTAAAATGTTGAACCTAATGTTATTACATACTGTATAGAATTATTTCCCAGCTAATTAAAACACTTGATAAGCATCCTCCAGGAGTGGTCAGTCTTAAGAGCACCGACTCTCAGGTCAGAACTGAAAATGATTTTTGATAAAGTAGAATAGAACAGAAAAGAATAGAACAACACTCTATTTGTGGTGCAGTGGGGAAATGACGGGCCACACCGAGACCCAAATAAAAGAAGTATTATAGGTACAGTTAAGTTATCGAAAAGTGCCCCCTGCCCCCCAAAGAGCAGACGTTAGCCTTATGATGAGCACAGAAATAGTTGTGTGTCCTTTTCAGATGGATGTGCAGTCAGGTCTTCGTTAGCACGGCTTCTGTTTATCTAAGGATTCTAAAGCCCTGACACAGTAGGATCAGAAGTTCTTAACTTCTTGGTCGCAAATAATATCGTGGAATCCATGCTTCTTGGACTCACCAGCTGGAACCCCCTTCTGAAACGAAAAGCTTTTTAATCAGCGTCTTGTTTTTTTTTTTGCCTTGCCAACTGAAAGTTTTGTCCAAACGTACTTGTTGGTTTGGTCCCTGGCTGTGGACGTTGTGGGCAATCAGCGGCAAAGCTGCCAAACCGTCTCCTGACCGCTCATCAGAAGCCCCCGGGCCCACCCAACACCACAGCCGCACCTCGCTTCTCCCAACTTAAGTGGACTCTAATAAAGTTGCTCTTTGATGCATTAATAACCTCTCCCTTCCTGCTGGGCCTCAGCTTCCGAACAGCACCCAGCATATCCTTGCCTGACATGCACTCTTTAATTATTTCTTTCTGTGAGTGTTGGAGCGAGACGAGGGGGAAGAGGAAAGTGATGACATGCTTCTAATGAATCCTTGAATAAATAATAGTGCTGCCTAAGCTCAATGTCTCCTGAACCAGCGTTATCAGGAGAAAGTGGAAGAAAATGGTTGGATTAAATGCTGGTGAAAAGAGTGAAAGTGTGTATTTTGGCAGAGGAGACACCTGACCTTTATGGCTGGGATTCCTTCATAAGTCTGATCATTTTGGTATGTCAGGATAAACAATCAAACCGACACTATCATTCGTTACTACAGTGGATAAAAATCCCCTTCAAAAGAATTGTAACTGCTCAACAGTTTTTCTTAACCCTACGTGTGAAACAATAACAGGATTCCAAGAGACTTTGTACAGTTGATGGAACATTTCTGAGAAAGTTCCACCTTTCTGATGCCCAAACGGTAGAAAGTGCTGCCCAGTGTAAAAAAAAAAAAAGAATTATTTTGATGGTAATTTTGAATCAGAATCAGGAATACTTTAATAATCCCAGCGGGAAATTATTCAATTATTTTTGTGGTCTGTAGGAGTTTTAATGCTCACAGAGCCATCAAATAGGTCCAGCACTTCAGTGTACAGTGATTGGTTAAAAAATACAAATGTGGTCTTAATATATGCTGGATGAGGTTTGATAGCAAAATACTGAGTACACGACCGGTTTAGTATTGGCTAAATGAAAACTCAGAGAAATACTCATCTGTTGTTCTGTTTTGTTTTCTACATTGGTGCCATGGATGCATGTCTAAACTGACCACAAACAAAATACCTGTGATGACCGTCTGTTTTTTGAATGAGAGAAACCACATTTGATCGGGAAACAGAAAAGCAGAGCTGTGTTTGTGTGGCGCCGGCTGTCCTTCAGCGCGTCCGCGGGCGTTCTTATCAGAGGCGCAGTGAGATGGAGGGCCGTCACCCGCTCTCTGTTGCCGTCGTGTAAGCAGGCAGAGGGCAGCTTGAGTGATGGCCCATCCATTCACACACACACTCCCGCTCCTCCGTCAGGCCTCCTCACACTCACACACTACTGTACTGCACACACCAGCGCTCCTAATAGATCACCTGTCTGTTTTCCGTGTCACTATAGAAGATTTTGTAGTCTTTTGTGTCACAGAGAATGGTCCCCCCCCCCCTCTGGAGGCATCTGCTTGGAATGGTTCGCACCGGCCCAGATCAGGTTGCCAAGGGAAACCGGCCAACTGTTGCTGACACACTGATCCCAGATTAATTTTATAGGTGGCACTTCTTAAATGTTCCGGACATCGTCCCACAGTTTTAGAACCTGCTACTAGTTAGCTCTTTGTTAAAGAATATCTGGAATGATTTCTGCAGCTGCCTGTTTTTAGAGGGAAATCATTACATCATTCAGACTTCTAGAAAATCAAAATAAAATCTTCAGTTTTTAAAAAATGTTTATTTGAAGACTTTTCAGTCTGTTAAAATATCAGGAAGGAAAACTCTTATTTGTGTCCCTTGCAAGAACACAGCTAACTCCAGCTTATCTCCCTACAGGCAGTACTCTTTAAGTAACAAATCATTCTTCATTAGGAATTTTATTTCCTCTCACGACCCTGATTTTATGTTTTCAACTGAGACATGGCTCGACAAAAATACTGCTGATAAGGTTCTGACTGAGACTAGTCCCCCTCACTTCAGTTTTTTGTCTTAAACATGAGGGTGGGGGGGGTTGCCCCATATTCAGGGACAATATACTCACACACTTAGTCAAGATGGAGACAATCTTCTTCTTCCATATTACCAAAATATAAAGAATATTACAGGCGGTATCATGTATTATAATATACTTTTAATATATGATACTATCATAAATTAATTATATTAACCATTGCCATATACTAAAAACAGGACTGTTTTAACTGAATTACTCTCTATTATATGCAGTGATTTTGACTATTTGCTCATAAAAGGGGACCTGAATGTGCATGTGGGTGCAGCCCAGGATGAGCATTGTAAAGAACTGACTGCTGTCCTTGAGATGTTTGGTCTAACTCAGCATGTGAACGCGTCCACTCACAGCAGAGGACACACTCTGGACGTGCCCATCTCAAAGGGTGTTATCTCAGATGTTGATGTTGCTTTGTCTGATCTTTTCTGTCTTTTATGTGACCCGTTTATTAAACCCAAACCAACCGCTCAGTTGGTTTCGTTTATATATATATATATATTTATGTGTGTGTGTGTGTAATATACAATAAATCCTCCCATGAAAGTAAAAGCTAGACTATTGTAGTAGCAGATAATGTGATCAAGAGGTCAGATTCTGGTGTCAAGGTCCTTGATGTTGATGGTTTAGTTCAATGCGTTTTGTGTGATATTCTAAAGCTAATTGGAAAGCATTACTTCTTCAAAACTGGAACAATTCAGCATATTTTCATCACCACTCTGAACACTGAATGTGAACTTCCTGATTAAAGAGAGTGGAGATCTTTCAGTTGTTGAAGTAGTTTGAGATGTTTCTCTAAACTCCTATTTTTCAATGCCAACTATAAAATGGAAGCACTAATGCGAGTTCCAGCAGACCTATGGAATGCATTCTCAAAAAGTCCTTTCAGAGCTGTGCCTTAGTGCGTTCTACCTGGAGGATGGCTTAAAGTAGGTACTTGAAATGGGCGCTGACACAAGGCCATAACTTCTTCCATAGTCAACATCATGTGTTTTTCCTGTGAGAATAGTCTGAATGGCGTGTTAACCTCCTTCATCCGTCCCTCCGCTTTCATTACACTCTCAGATCGGGCAGCTGGTGTTCAAGGGGATGAAGCGCCTGAACCGGATCCAGTCCATAGTCTTCGAGACGGCCTACAACACCAACGAAAACCTTCTCATCTGTGCCCCCACCGGAGCCGGCAAGACCAACATCGCCATGCTGACCGTCCTCCACGAGATCCGCCAGCACCTGCAGCCCGGAGGCGTCATCAAGAAGGAGGAGTTCAAGGTCTGGTGCCGACACACTCTCCTACCCAGAGCTCCTCCCTGTTAGGGCTTTTTAGTGCTGGAGGCCTTTCGCTGGTTTTAATTCGGAGAAATTCTACACTGAGCCCTTTCTGTCCCCGGTATTCTGGACACAAGGGGTAAAGTTAAGATCACTCTGCTGTTATGTACAACACAGAGTAACTAAATGCAAAGATTCAGACCACAAAGACTCCAGGGAGCAGTTTCCTGGTAGTTTTGAGCCCAGGACGTGTGGATTTACTCCTCTGGGTGATTTTCGTGTTGTTGTTCAACTTCAGTGATTGTGTGGACCTGTAGGTTTTTCTCTAATGAAAGCAAAAGTTGAAACAGCGTTGTGCACTGATGCTGAAAAGTGAAAGCATAAGCAGTCAATGATAAACAGAGAAGTAATAAATGTACATTCTTATAAATGTTGTTTTCCTCTTAGCAGCAGGAACTATGCTGAGACACTATGCATTTTATTCAGAATACCAGGCCAGGTGATGTTTACTAATTAAACATTTTCATATTGTCTGTCTCTAAAAGTGAGTTTGCTGACAGCTGGGAACGTGTTGAACAGAATACATCAGTTTGTGACATCCACACCAGCTGTCCTCTTAAACTATCAACAATACTGAACCTTAATTATGAATATTAATATATTCCACAAAGACAAATGCCAGTTTTAATGTAGAAATGTGCTGTTTTCCCCACAGTCGTCTGCAGATTATTCCAACACTGCCACATTTGACTCCTCTGTTTAAGGGGGCCGAATCCTTACTTCCTGCCAAACGTTTTTCTGTTCCAGTATGAAATTGAAAGGCAAATAAAGAGAGCTCAAGATGGCAAATAAGACACATAAGTACACATTTAAGGGATGTTTTTCTGCTATTTTGTGCAGAATCTTTTGTGGCAAACATGTATTTCTTTATTTGAAAGTAGACAGGTGTTTTTGGATAGTGTGTGGAAGTTGTTGCACAATTCAATATGAGAGATTTCTACAAAGAAAAGAAAAGCAAAGAGGTCCTCCATGAGCATGATTAGACACATAGGAAACAAATGAAACACACACAAGTGCTCTCTAGTTGTGTCAGTGTGTTTCTTATTAAATGCTTTAGAAAAGATTCCCTTCTGTTTGTCTACATTTGTGTCTCATGGACTACAAGAAGTTTGAGATCGCTTCCTCTTTAGGCACCGCCCGCTGGTTTGTCACTCACTCTAGAAACTGAACCAGGACCTGGCGTCTTCAGAAAAAGCAGAGCCAGACCATGGATTTTGCACTACAGCGCATCAGTATTTAAAGTCCAAGCAAAACGTATTTACATTTCAGCTGAAGGGCCTTTCCGAGATTAATGCCTGTAATTAGGCACATCAGTGGTCTGTGACGGAACGTGGTGGACTCCCGAAAATAATGATGCAGACAAATTTAGTTTTTTGGGTGTTTTTTTGTCTGTGTAGAATCAATTAGAATATCTTTACCCACAGTAGACACACAAAGACCTGCCTGAAGAGTGTTCCATGCCTGTTGTTCAATCTCCATCTGTTGTTTTTTTTCCATTTTATACATGTATATATATATATATATATATATATTTTTTTTTTTTTAGACTAACTTTTGTTAGTTAGTTGTTAGTTTCAAAGATAACAAAGCAGTGAAGTGTAACAGGCGGTTTTCCCATTCTTTTGTTGTTGTTTTTTTTTCCATAAACAAAAACACAACTTCGGAAAGAATAATGATTAAATGTGTATGAGGGACAAGCTTTTTAAAAACAGAAAAAGAAATAAAGATGATTTAAGGGTCAAATAGATAGATAGATAGATAGATAGATAGATAGATAGATAGATAGATA